CAGTACATTCACTTACCGCATGGGCCTGTTAGGTCATGCACGCATCCACAAGAGTTTATTTCCCCACAACCTCGAAGCACCTTGCACATGCTGCATACTTACTATTCCTAGTCCAAACGACACGCCGTCCCCCATCATCACCGAAACCGACACTGACCTGTCCAGCCGACACTGTTCCTGTACGTTCATCTCCCACATCGGCCTGGTCGATCACTTGCGAATCCATCGCACAGAGGCTGGCGAGCCAGCTTCTGGAGAACCCACATACGCCAGACGCATCCGTCTCAACTGCCCTCACTGAACCCGCATATTCACCCACCCCATGGGCCTATTAGGCTACATGCGCATCCAAAAAACCTGCAGTAGACAACTGCCAGCTTCACCACACCACCACACCACATCTTGACAAACTTAACCAGCGTGTGAGTCAGCTATGAAATGTATGCCTATATTGGCAGGGGAGCGATCTTCCCCAATGTTTCACGGCCTACACCTACGGCTATTATGCTTCCGCTGACAAATAACCTCAGAATTTGTATCTTGGCATTCTTTTTAAATTTCATCAAGAAACCTATTTAGACCTAAACATTTTGTTCGGAGCTCTTATCAGTCTATATCACCCTATTTAAGGTTGCACCGTTTACTGAAGGCTTACTCTCCCTCACGATAAAAGCAGCAATTATATCCTGCTTTGGCAGTCAGTTTGCTATATCTACACACGTTCTAGCAAGTTGCGCGAGCTAATACCCCAAGTGTGCTTAAACTTACGGCTTTCTGTCAGGGTCTCGTAGCCCAGGTGACTAGAGCGTTTGCTGTACACAAGCTCTGTTCATGCTGTCATGAGTTTGAATCCCACTGAGACCGCCGACGTTTCCACAGTTTGGTCCGATGAATTATACAAATCTGCCAAAACACCTACTACTTAAATTATGTCCCTGCTTTGGCAATGCATTTCACTAGTCGCCCAAACTGTCTTCGAAGGGGTTGGAGCATTCCAGTCGCATAAATGCTTGCCTTGGCGCGTCCCTCCCGGTTAGGACAACTCCCATTTCTCTCGGGCATGAGGAGCCGAAGGGTTTGTAACTGGGCTTTGGAGGATGAAATTCTGTCGTTATTGGTTGGTAGGCCGCAGGTCCAGGAACACCGTTCTTTGGAAAAGTAATGAAAACGACAAATTGCTGAATAACGAATTCCCTTTTGGGTCTGCTAGAAGGCAGACAAATTGATAGACAACATGATTCCTTCTAAAAACATGACAGTAAGACAGTCTGGCAATTAATGGTTAGCATTTTTAATGTGGGAAATTTATCTGCCATCTAGATCCTTAGAGTTTATGTAAAATACCGAACTACCCAGGCAGAACGGAAACGCTCATTTAGAGAAAGAGAGAGAGAAAGGTAGAGTAGCGTGTTTCGGGACGACAAAATAA